TGAACCCGTTTCGAAAATATTTAAAAAAATTAATTTTTTGAGGCCCCCATTTAGGGAGCGTAGATCCCTTAGGAAGCATCTCTCGACCCATGTTTATTTGAAAACATACTCTTATTTTTGGCTATATAGGTAATCAAGTGATAAATTATTGGACACTAATTATGAGATACTCTGTATATAAGGAAGCTCTACATTTGATTTAATATTTTATCAAAAATGTAAATTAAAATGTTAAGCAATACAACGCATGCTCGTTAATCTTCCGCCACGTTTTTTTTGAATACCACGAAAATAAAAAACTTTATTAGGCCGACATGCAGGTTTGCTAAAATAAACAATGTTTAGAAAAAAATACACATGCTTACGCTGGAAGTATGGCTCTCGTAATAGTATAAGTAAAATTTTCATATTTTTTATTTCAAAGTGTATAATGGTTAGTTTTCTTATTACTGAATGTTAAGTTTCAATAAAATATATGTTTGCTTATATTTATTTTCTTACAAATCTATGTACAGAGCCACTAAACATGCGTGCAATGTAGGAATAATATATCATTCTCCGTCCCTTGTGCGTTTGCTAGCCTGAACCCATCTCGCTTGCTCTCACAGACCGCTACGATGTTCACGACGGAGACGGAGCCCTTTTATTGGCTGTAATTAAGAAACGCTCCGACTTTTTTGTCTGTAATTTCACTTTTGTGGTCAAATTGTATTCCTAAAGCCAAATTTCATAGTCTGCAGGTGGTACAAATCAAGGAGTTTTTGAAAAAAAAAACAAGTTTGAGTAGCCGCCTCCGGCCAAACGTAGCGATATTTGTTCACTTTAAACCTATTTCAACATTAATGTGCTTATCTTTTGGTACAAATGATGGGAAAAAATCACGCCAGCTCTTAGGCTACAAGTATTTAGTCCAAGCATTATAGAGAAATGCTTACAGAAATTATTACCTGGACAAAAAAAAATGACCGTATAGAAAATTAAATTTTAAATCGAGTTTCTTGTTCTTTAAACTCGATCCAAAATGGCGAACATGGTTAAAAAAATCGCAAAGTTGCAAAAATGGTTTTTCTAAAATAACTAAAAAAATATAGCACCGATCGAAAAATTTTAAAAGAGAAAGTTGTAGGTTTTAAAAAGACCTATCGACTGATTTTTTGTAAGTACCGATTGCTTTGTTACTTTTCGAGATATATCGAAAAAACCGTTAAAAATCTTCTCTTTTCTCTTCTTCTATAACTCGTTTACATTTAGGTTCCCTTACTTGCTATTTACTGCAAGCATAGCCCGCGGCAAGCCAAAAAATACATTTTTGAAAAATTTTAAAATAATAATAAGAGTAAAGAAGAATAATAAAAGTAAAAAAAAATGTAAGTAAAATAAAAAGTAAACATTTACGGGACTAGTTTGCTTCTAATGCGAAAATGACTGTAATATTCGTGTTTAGCTACCCCAGATTAAGTACAAAAGAATTTTTGTACGTGATCCAGAAGCCGAGATATCAAAAATTTTGAAAGCGCGAGACTTTAGACTGCACGTCATCAGTTTTCAGAGCGAGCGCGCGCCGCTTCCCCCTACTTCTCCGGCCGGTCCAGCTGACGCACTCAGCGCTTGCACGCTTCACTTTATTACTCAATTCTTAATTACTAATAGGTACTAAAAATCAAGTAAACATATCCTATTTTTTTTATTTTGAAAATATAAATATTGAATATTAACCTCCATCAAGCGCATCGCTGTAAAAAATGTTAATTGCGTCTTCAAATTTTTTTTTAAATAAAAAAATTATCTCGGCTCCAGAAGGTCGTAGAAAAACATTTTTTTTTTAAATTCGTGAAAAAATGTCAGCAGTTTCCTCCTTTAAAAATAATTTTCATAAAATAAAAATTGAAATAGTTATTTGAAAAAAACACCCAAAAAAGTGAAAATTTTTCATATTTTGATCCTTAAAATTAATAAAATCGTCAACATTCGTCAAAATCAGTCGATAGATCTGTTTAAAACCTACAACTTTCTCATTTAAAATTTTTCGATCGGTGCTATATTTTTTTACTTATTTTAGAAAAACCGTTTTTTGCAACTTTGCGATTTTTTTAACCATGTTCGCCATTTTGGATCGAGTTTAAAGAACAAGAAACTCGATTTAAAATTTAATTTTCTATACGGTCATATTTTTTTTGTCCAGGTAATAATTTCTGCTAATTTAACATTAATCCGTGACAGAATGCTTGGACTAATTTGCAACAAAAAAAAACTGGTCTGCCGGCCGGTAAACACGAACACGTGCTCTTTGTATTGGTACAATTTTGAAATAAATATGGAATGAGTAATGAACTACAATTAATAAATTATGAAAATATTTACCAGAGGATCTGATAAACTATTTTGTTTTTTTATTTCTATTTTTCTCCTATTTTATGTTTCTCAATAGGTTCAGGGTGTTTAATACTACATTAATTATAATTCATAACATATTTTATCTATATATTTTTAAGAAAAATAATGAAATTTTTCTGTACATTTTAATTGTCTGGAATACAGTTGCATTGTTATTTAAAATCATTAAAACTGTCTTTACCACAATGTTTCCATACTTCCAACATAATGATAATAATCACAAATATTTCACAAATATGTCTGTTAAATGAAATTAAAATATATAGAACATTAAGGGTATAAAATGAGCATCATTTTGCATTCGACATGCCCAGTAATAAAGAATCTGGGGAATTTGAAGTTTTTGTCAAAAAAGTTGTTTGGTATATCTAGTGTTTACGAAGATAGTTGAAACCGTATAAAAACTAAAAGTCGGCATCTCTTTCCGGGCACAATAAAGAGATGCCGACTTTTAGTTTTTATACGGTTTCAACTATCTTCGTAAACACTATAATAAATGTTTAAATTTTTGATAGTATCAAGTATAGTATTCCTCTGTTTCCACATCCAATATTTTATTAAAACACTGTAGGTCATTATATTATTTTTCTGTGCAAATATTAAAATTATCTGACAATTCTTGTTCATTGCACATATTTTCCCTAATGCGGCTCTGGACGATAATAGGCTAACCAATGTCCTGAGAATATATAGTTACCGATTAAAGAAATCTTTACGTCGATTGCTACGTGGTATTACGAAGTTGTTCTAGTTTGGCATTACGCTAGTAGAGACCGCCACTTCCTGGATGGATTTTCTACTATCTATCAGGTGCTATCGCTGTCTTACCAAAAGTGCGATTTCTTGTCTATAAAACGGCGCCCTTAAAATAGTGAGTGATATAAAATTTTAATTCGAAAAATACAACGCTCAAAATATTCAATAATTAAAAAAAAAGGCAAATTTGATTTTTTAGGTCACGTTTCAAAGCCCAATAACTTTAGTTCAAAATATGATACTGCAACTTTACAGGAGCATTTTCTGAAGCTTGAAAACTGTACTTTAAGAAGGTCCATTTTGTTTTATTTAAAACGTTCAATTTATAATAAAATTTAAAGAAAAACAAAAAAAAAGTAGAAGTTTATCTGGTAATGTAATTCATTCTCGTGATTCGAGAATTATCTCGGTGCTCGGTGAATGCAGTTCACCTGGCGCATGCTACAATCGGGTATGACTCCAACTTTTATGATTCAAGATCTAGCACCAAGTGAACTTCTCAAAATGGTTTTTTGCAGATGCAAAAGTGAATGTGCTAATAATTGCGGTTGCCGGAAGGCGGGTCTACTTTGCACCATACCATGCTCTAATTATTCCGGAACTGATTGTCTCAATTGCCAAGCAGTGTTCGAAGAAGAACGAGAATCATACCAATTGCCAGAACTTACAATGATTCAAAAGAATGAAAATTGAATATTGTTATTTTTTTATATTTCTATTTTTAATATACAAATACTTTTCATATTTAATAAAATTGTTAATTAAGAATCCCATATATTGACTTTTTGCAGAACCCAAAACATCATATCCAAATTTCTTTAAAATTGAACGATTTGATTTCATTTTATATTGTTCAATGATCTGAAAACTCCTAAAAATATCAATATAAGTAAAATTGCTTTGAAAATGAAATTTTTAAATAAATTGTTTAAAAAAGGGCCATATTGGAGCAGCCATTTTGAATTTTTATTTTCTGATATAATATTCTTGATCAGCGACTTCGAAAACCCCTATAATATCAATTTGATTAAAATTGCATGGAAAATTGTCATTTTTTAATAAATTGTTTAAAAAAAGTCGGCCATATTGGATCAGCCATTTTGAATTTTTATTTTTTAGCATTATATTCTTATTCAGTGACCTCGAAAATCCCTATACTATCATCAATTTAATTAAAATTGGTTTGACATTTTTTGATTTATTTAAAATAATATTTGAAAAACCATTTTTTATTGTTTAAACAATTAAATAATAATTAGCGTACAAATATAAGTTTATAACTTTTTTCCATAAGCCATTTCAAGGCGATTGCAAAAGGTTTTATGTAAATCCAAGGCTCTGCTAATTATTCCTAAATAATGCATATGTTTAAGCTCCCTTTACTCCACTATATTAGTTATTCGTGTTTTTGTTGAAAACGACAAAAGTTTTTTAAAAACTAACAAGAATAAGAAAAATTTTAGAATTAAATTCCCCATAAAATAAAGTAATACTTTTTTAAGACCGCCAACGGGTTAAAATATTTTGTCACAATTTAATGGTGCATCATCCCTTATATCAACCCTTTAAAAGACTTCAATTGAACTCTAAGTATTTACTGTCGATTAATCTCGGTAAACACACACCCACATTTGGTTTTTCTATAAAGGTAAGTTGAGTTAAATCACCATATTTTGGGTTCCCTCACATATCCCTACTCTGTGTCGGTTCTTATGCGAAACACCCTGTGTTTTTCGTGTAATTATACGAAAATTATTTATGTATGCGATTACAATTGTGACAATATTTTGTATTATACTGCTACAATTCTACTCAGTTGTTGGACCTACATATCCTAATTCAAGAAATAATAAAGGGGGCACATAACTATTTATTATTTAACAAATACAGATAAAAATATATATGAAGTCAAGAATATCTTCCACCTATGTCCTGTAAAATCTTCTGGTTCCTGATTTAGGATGTTAGACCCAAACGTTTGTTTAGTAGCTCAAAGAATTTGTCTAAAACTTCCACAATTTTCTCTTCATCTGTAGCGGTAGACATCTATAAAGTACATAAAAATCAAGTAGCACATTTCAAGGGGTAACAAAATAGAATATATAGCGAAAAGAGAAGGGAGAATATTATATAGTACAGGCTGTTACAAATTCGCTTCTCACTACAGGGATCTCGATAACGGTAAGAGATACAAACTAGCTTAAATGGGGGCAAAGTTGCGTAATCAGGGGACTAATATTATGCCTCTAAAAAATTAAGGCTAACGTGATTAGTTTTCGAAATATTTGAAAAAAAAAACGAAATTTTGGAAATCCGTTTTTGTTTCATTTCAGCCTTGTTTGAGGTAGTATTGAAAAAAGAAGAACACTTTCTGATTGCCACTTTTTTCCCTTTATAGAATGGCAAAATCAATTTTTATATGTAATGTTTCGTTTCTCCAGGACCATCATCAACTTCATTTTTTTAAATACGACCCTGGAAATTTTATTACATTTTTTGCAAGCCTTCATGATCCCCAATACTGTACTGCCTCAGCCCGAACCAGATTCAGACGTTTTGTCTCGAAAAATTCATCTTCAGTGTATTCGTTCCAAATTTATCAAAATGTTTTATTTAGATTTCTTTGTTTTTTGAATTATCGTACACTGTAAGTGTCGTTAAACCCTGTGAAATCCATCTATACTCCGCGGTCGAAATTATAGAGAGTGACTCATCGCTAGCTTTTGGACTAGTACGGGGGATGAAGCGTGCCGGGAACGAAAATCCATTGGCGTGTTTGCGTAAAAGGCAACAAGATATAGAAAATATTGAAAGAAGATAATAAAACATAACATCTAATATTTTTTCACGGTTTGCTATAACCGGCACTTTGATCCATTTTAATTATTACAGCATTTTAAAACGTCCCAGTTGTGTTTTTTTAATTTATAAATTTATTATAGCCATGGAATTAGACCCCTCGTCTACGCTTATGCTATGACGTTTCTCAGGACGGGTAAATTCAAGTCCGTTTACACCCACTAAAAAAGCATTTCCCTATTCCCTACCAAGTGCAAAAGACAGAGATAGAATATAGATCGACGTTCAGTGTAACTCAGTTTATAGACGATTATAGATTCTATCGATGTGCGTAGCGAGCGGCACAAAGATATAAATAATATTGAACCGTATAAAAATCATTTTATATTTTATACGCATTATAGTAATAGTGTTTTTATATTATGTCAGAGTCACTCTCTATAATTTCGACCGCGGAGTATAGTTATTTAAACTATTACCACCATGCATTAAAATAACAAAATATTAGTTTTATTCCCATGTCCATAGTGATTTCTAGGCTTCTCGAGTGCTCAAAATTCAAACAAATTCAGATCTATTTTTTTCAATGTTTTTGAAAATTTACTGAAATTTTTTAAAGAATAATATTTAGTTGACGTTTTGGTTGTTCATATGCATTTTTAAGAATTAATTTGTCATAATAAAATCAAAATTGTAATAATGTTGTAATTTTGACGCGACAACTTATTGGATTGTGTATGACCAAGTGATGGTAATAGTTAATAATAATAAATGTTTTATTGTAACACGTGGTGGTAAAAAGTAGTTTAAATAACTAGATGGATTTCACAGGGTCTAACGACACTGACAGTGTACGATAATTCAATAAACAAAGAAATCTAAATAAAAAATTTAAATTTTGGAACGAATATACTGAAGATGAATTTTTCGAGACAAAACGTCTGAATCTGCTTCGGGCTGAAGCAGTACAGTATTGGAGGTCATAAAAGCTTGCAAAAAATGTAATAAAATTTCTAGGGTCGTATTTAAAAAAAATAATTGATGATGGTCCTGGAGAGACGAAACGTTACATATAAAAATTGATTATGCCATTCGATAGAGGGCAAAAAGTGGCCACGAGAAAGTGTTCTTCTTTTTTCAATACTACCTCAAACAAGGCTGAAATGAAACAAAAACGGATTACCAAAATTTCGTTTTTTTTCAAATATTTCGAAAACTTGTTAGCCTTGATTTTTTTGAGGCATAATGTTGGTCCCCTGATTACGCAACTTTGCTCCCATTTAAGCTACTTCGTACCTCTTACCGTTTCCAAGATCCCTAATTTGTAACAGCCTGTATACTGCCTACTTCTTAATCTTCTCGCCTTATTAACATTTTCCAAAAATAAGTTAATATCAAATCACTGCCATACATACCTTTTCAGCACTGACCGCCTGTACCTCTAACAAGACGCCGTGGAAAAGTGAGTTGACTATATCCACTACCCATTCAGAAACGGGTGCTTCGATTGCATTGAGACCGTTGGCTACAGTGTTATTCAAAAAGAAGGTAAGCACTTTACTGAACGTATCACTGATAACGCCCTGTATGTCGAACTGGAATTAAACAACAAAACGTTAAGCAAAAAGTGGTGTGAAACATAGTTTTAGAGAAACAATATGCCAAAATGTTGACGTTTTAACCTCCTATGAATAATTATTGGCTTGTTAAAAAAATTTTGTCTCTCTGGTTGGTACTGGAGAATCCACAACACCAAAATATAGACGTAAGCTTATGCTCATTTAAAACAAAATTTAAAAAAACTTTATAGTTGATACTACACTTTTTTATGTAAAATATTATCACTGTTTTTGTTATACCCAATTTTACGTTTAATTTTGTCTTCATACTTACTGTTATGTCTCCTATGTTGTACGAGAACGAACTAAGCGAAATACCCAAAGGTATTAGTTTGAAATCAACTTCTGCCTTTATGACAATATCCGATACAGCTGTACTGAAATAAAAGTGACAACTTTAGTAAACAAACATCCGGAAGTGAACGAAGATTTTCTACTATTCCTATCCTACGAATATGATTTGTATTAGTCCAGGCGATAGACCAGTAAAAGTAGGCTTTGGCGTTTCTGTCTAAAGCTAAAGTCATCTACTTTGTTATACAGAAAAATCCCAAATATTATGTAGAATAAAAATCCGAGTTTGCCTGTACCAAAAAACCATTGCTAAATTCAGGTAAACAACAAACATACAAAAAGAACGAAAAATTACCCGTTTTTCGACATATTTTTCCCTGTCACATTGAAAGTAAGCCCTAAATAAAAAAAATCATTATTTTTCGTTTATTTGACGATTTTCTATAAAGTTACAACAACTGCGGATAAAAAAAGTTGAATTTTGAATGGGCGAAAATTAATAGAAAATCATATTATGTATATTTGGAGCAATTTTTAAAATAAGTAAATATTTATAAACAAAAGTAAAACATAATATGTTAATTCTACCCTAAAAATTTTGCAACGATCGATCGCGTGGTTTTCGATTGACAGGATTGTTAATTAAGAAAATTTCAAAAAGTTTATGGCGTACTGTGGGTTTAAATTAAGGTTTAGAAAGGGATTTTCTTAGAGATATTTGTTGTTATAATAAACAATGATCAATACTAAAAATACCTATTTTTACACTTTTATAACCATTTAGAATTTTTTTTTAATTTTTCAACATATTACTCTATATAGCCCAGTCATTATAGACATGAAAGAGCCTGTTTCGGGAAAAAAATACTATTAGAAGTTTCTCTGCGGAATATTGTTCGGAAGCCTGTTATAAATAAAGTATCAAAAAATCAACTCGAGGCTAGTTGGGAAACTTTGTTTTAACAGTGGTCAAAGTTATGGAAAAGTGGTTTTTTGACTCACGTAAAAAAACTATTATTCATAGCGAAAAAAAGTTTATACAAAAAAGGTAGGTATTAAATAAGCCTATAAAATGAGAAAAGTCCGATTAAATTCCGATAATTTGTTTATGCACAAGAGCTCAAAAATGGTCGAAAATTGCCGTTTTTTTCAATTGCTAATAATTAATGCAATTTTCATCGCAGACACTTGTAATTCAGGATTTTTGAGGCTTTTTACACCCTTAATAAGTGGTAAAAATTTCAGCTCGAAAGCTTCATTGGTTTGGCGTTGGCGGAATTTGTTATCTAAGAAGATGCTATTTTCAATTCATTTTTCCCAAGCTCACAGGCGTTGTAGGGTTTCGATCATTAGTTGTTTTTGTACCTAAATAGTTGTATTGACATATGCATTTACTGAGAATTTAGTTTTTCAAATTTAATTTGTTTAAAATTGACTGAAAAAATGTTAATATTTATTAAATTGTTAAGATAGGTAATTATTATAAAATAAAATAGTAACCTCTTTACTTTAGTTTTCTTCGAATTTAAAAAAAAATCGTTGTTGTAAGTTGATTAGAAGCTGAGATAATTTTTTTTATTTATTTAATCGCAGTGACCTTAATTATTAATATTAAGAGCCGAAATTTGGAGAGAGTATACATTAAGAGCTATATTTTCATGTCCTACATTAACATTAAGGTGAATTCAACTATTTAATTTCGAAAAAGAAGATAGCGGCGATGCGTTCTATTACTTGGTCTAGCGAACGAGTGGGGAAGGCGAGGCTTAGCATGCGCGCTTAACGATGTAATAAATATTAACATTTTTTCAGTCATTTTTAAACAAATTAAATTTGAAAAATTAAATTATCAGTAAATGCATATGTCAATACAACTATTTAGGTACAAAAACAACTAATGATCGAAACCCTACAACGCCTGTGAGCTTGGGAAAAATGAATTGAAAATAGCATCTTCTTAGATAACAAATTCCGCCAACGCCAAGCTAATGAAGTTTTTGGGCTGAAATTTTTACCACTTATTAAGGGTGCAAAAAGCTTCAAAAATCCTGAATTACAAGTGTCTGCGATGAAAATTGCATTAATTATTAGCAATTGAAAAAAGCGGACAATTTCGACCATTTTTGAGCTCTTGCGCATAAACAAATTATCGGAATTTAATCGGACTTGTCTTATTTTACAGATTTATTTAATACCTACCTTTTTTGTATAAACCTTTTTTTCTCTATGAATAACAGTTTTTTTTACGCCAGTCGAAAAACTACTTTTTCATAATTTTGACCATTGTTTTAACAAAGTTTTCCAACTAGTCTCGAGTTGATTTTTTGACATTTTGTTTATAACACGTTTCTGAACAATATTCCGCAGAGAAACTTCTAATAGTATTTTTTTCCCGAAAAAAATTTATAATGATTGGCCTAATAAACAATTATTTATTGCCCAGAGAATTTTCTATGAAATCGACAAAATCTTGCACACATGAAAACTAAGTCGTAACTTCTGTCTTTTTGGCCAAATACTACAGCATTCTACTGTGTAGATTCTGAGATATAGAAGCATAAAGTTAATAATAATTTATAGCTTACGTAATCGTGAAGTCGAGAAAAAAATATCTTTTTATAGCTAGCCACAAGTACTTTCAATATCCGTTTAGTGTTTAGTGCATTTTCGGCAGATAAAAGCTTAATAATTTCTTGACAGGGCGGGAGTGGGGATGACTGAGAGCAGCCGCAAGGTTTCAAAATGCGTATGCACGATAAAAGATGACTTTTCTCGGGAACGGTAGCACTTATCAAGACGATTTTTTTTTAATTTGTTAGGTATAGCAAAATGAAAGGAATACGAATATCTCATCAAAAATCAATAAAATAAATAATTTTTGCACGAGCTTTGAGTTTAAAGAATGAATATAAGAGTAAAATGTTAAAAAAAATAAAAAAAACTAAATGGTTATAAAAGTGTTAAATAGGTATTTTTAGTATTGATCATTGTTTATTATGACAACAAGTATCTCTAAAAAATTGTGTTCCCTCTCTAAACCTTAATTTAAACGTGAGGTACGCGATAAACTTTTTAAAATTTTCTTAATAAAGAATCCTGTCAATCGAAAACCACGCGATCGATCGTTGCAAAATTTTTAGGGTAGAACTGACATATGTTTTACTATTTGTTTACAAAGTTTCGTCAATATTTATAAATATTTATTATTTTAAAAATTGCTCCTAATATAAATATGATTTTCTACTATTTTTCGCCTATTGTTAATGCAAAATTCAACTTTTTTTATCCGCAGTTATTGTAACTTTATAGGAAATCGTCAATTAAACAAAAAATAAAGAATGACTTTTTTATTTCGGGCTTACTTTAAATGTTACCGGGAAAAATATGTCGAAAAATGGGTAATTCTCGTTCTTTTCGTATGTTTGTTGGTCCCCTGAATTTAGCAATGGTTTTTTGGAATAGGCAAACTCGGATTCTTATTCTACATAATATTTGGGATTTTTCTGTACAACAAAATAGATTAGGTACCTACTTCAAAAACAAACGCCTCGAATGCTCTGCTGGACTATACCGGGTGATTCAGCTTGATATTCGCGGCCTTGTATCTCTTTTATTTTAACAAATAGCTATAACAAACCCTATATATTTTTAAATCGCCGCTCAAACTCTATCAAATGACATTATCAGATCGTCTCCATGATAACATGTGTTAACATTGCTATAGTCAATTGTTTTTCTTCAAATGGCACACTATATATTTCTTTATCAATTCTGGAAGATATTTTTTTCTGCGTTCAGCTATATAACAAATCTATAGTTTCATTAGAAATACTGCCTGAAAATCAGCAAAAAATATTAACCCTACCTTCATTAGCTTTATTCTGAAAAATTATAGTGAGCTGCGGAAACAACTGAATTTTAATGTTTCTAAATAAAGGTTTGTCAAAATAATTGACATTTTGTACCTACCTATTATATCTATAACTAATAATTATAACATGAATACTTACAGTAACCAAGAAAAACTAGATATGATATGATATTTTGATTAAATTTGATATTGATATTTGATATATATGATATTTTTAATTTATGGAAAAGGCTGAAAGAACGCTAAAGCTGCCAGGTATTTATAGGTGCCAACATCGTTTCCCGCAGAGACAACTTCCATCAGAAGAAATTTTCGGAAAGCTAGCCAGAAATTTAGCGGCAGATGGAAGTTTTCAAAAAAAAAGAAGAGTTTTTAAACTCAGAAGGGCAAGAGATGAAGAATATTCGATAAAGATGTTAAATGGCCTGCTAGATCTCCGGGTCTCACCCCTATAGATTTCTTTCTTTGACCTTACCTAAATGATATTTATCTTAAAAACAGAATAAGAGTAGAATGTCGGAGATTAAATGAAGAAACAGTAGAATATGTTTGTAGAAAGGGAGTGATAAACAGAGCTATTCTGTGTTTGGAAGCAAATGGAGGTCATTTTGAACATTTGAAATAAGCATTGTTTTAAATTGTTATATTATTATCGTGTTAAAAATAAAATATGTTACTTTAAAAAACATAATAACTTGTTTCCGCAGCTGGTTATCATTTTTTAGAATAAAGCTGCGAAAAGTACGGTTCATCTTTTTTGCTGTTTTTCTAGCAATATTTCTAATGAAACTATAGACTTCCTTACATAGTTGAACGCAGAAAAAAAATATCTTCCAGAATTGATAAAAAAATATATAGTGTGCCATTTGAATAAAAACAGTTGACTGTAGCAATTTTCTACATATGTTACCATGGAGACGATCTAATAATGTCATTTGATAGAGTTTGAGCGGCGATTTAAAAATATATAGGGTTTGTTATAGGTATTTGTTAAAATAAAACTGAATCATCCGGTATACCGACTGGATCATTTCGAGGATGCTGGCATTGAGATCTTGGAAGCTATAATTGGTAGAAAACTGGTCAAATGGAATTTTAGACCATGCCATTTCTAATGGCGTAGTTTTCGAGATATTCTGCAAAGAGAGTCCAACCTTATCACAGCAATATTTTGTGAAGAATTGTACCATCATCACATTCTCTATAACCTGTTTTTCAATTGGACAGTAAGTATATTGAATTGTATATTGTATGAAGTGATATAT